TGAATCAAAACCGCTCATTGATTCTACATCGTCTCGATCACTTTCTTGAGATGATTGTTTTCGATTCTGAGACGCCATCCTATTATGTGCAAAAAGGCCAAGTTAAAGTTAAAGTTTTACAAAAACAAGTTTAATGATACCTATTTTATTCATCATGATACCACAATAATATAGATCGCATTAACAATCATCCAAACATTCATTAAGAAGAGATGCCTGAAAGCAATATACGGTTTTTATCTTATTCCACAAAAGAGATTAAAAATCTTTTATAAAGTAACTACCAAAATCATCAACACGAAAAATAGCCTCATAGTGAATACGATCTTTGCAATATCTTTAAAATTTTTTTTTGCATAATAGACTCTAAGTTACGGATTTTAAGACGTATGAGAACGATTAAGCAGGATCATGTTATTGTTAACCGTAATCGTCACTATTATAACAATATGACAAAGACTAATAACTAACATATTAGACTATAATGCCACTCGGTTTATAATAGATAATGATAATATAACAATAGAAAGTAAATATCTAATTCTTTCCTTGACTGTTAACTATTGAATTAGCAATAGAAAGAAATAACGCTTTAACGATAATGCATTTATTATGCAGCTAGTAAGTATCTTAAAAATCTGTGATCATCGATCGATTATTAGAATTCTGCTGTAGACAAGGTCACTTCTTTCTATATCAACTGCTACAGCAACGGTCGATAATTTTACAAATTGCCCTAATTCAGATAGCATGAGATGATTTAGTACCAAAAAGGTAACGCTATAGGATTCTAAATATTGACTATAGCAATTACGGTAAGTTATGGATCATGCTATCGGAATATAAAAAAATAATTCTAAAATATATGTTTAATGAAAAAGTACAGGCTACATAATTTATAACTTTAATTACAGGTTGAGTACAGTTTGGTAATAAATATAAAACTACCATTAGTACCAATCTAGCGTGATTTTTTCTGGCTATTCTAAGCTGTTGCTCATGTAAATAAATAAATTAGCACGTCAGTATAGTTTACTTAATATTATATAATTAATATCTATTTGCATGTTACGAGAAGTTTGCCGTTCACAGATAAAAGGCTCTGAGTGAATTCAAAAGTAATGGCGATAGTTCGTTCCTCTTACTAAATTACTGATAGAATAAAAGATAATATTTGTAATTTTTCCTCCATTGATCATCTACCATTAATTTATGTTACAAATGATCGATAATATCACCATCGTCATGATGATTAGTATATAGCGCAACTATTATCAAACTTTGACTATATATTTTTATGTGGAAACAATTCAATTTTAATAATACATGTCATCCAGTAGAAAAACTATTGTAACTCTAGTTACTATTCAAGGTTACAACTGCTTATAATGGCAAAGAAGTTAAGATAGTGTGAGACAAGTAAATTGATCACCGTCAATACGGGTAGCCTTTTCATCTATTTATTATCAATTTGGCTAAAGTATATAATTCAATACAATCGATCAATCAATCCCTATTATTGTTGGCTTCATTGTAGAATAGCTTCATGATTTAAGAAAGAATGTTCTGTTACGTTATTATCATGATAGCCATGATGATGAAAGTTGTCTTTTTGCACATCATTTACATCGCAATCTCAATATAAAACGATCATCCTTTTCATTTTCAAATCGTCATGATCGTGTCAAATGATTCCATATTTTTTTCTTTCACATAATTTATGAACAACATTGATCCATCCATATCTACAGTAATAGTATTTTCAATTGTATATTTTCCCATGAAGCTGAAGCATTCTTTTATTATTAATATATAATATAAAGTTAGTACCATACTGTACTTTGAGATCAGTAGTCAACTTGTCACCTGGATACATCTGTATTCAATGATCGTTCTCAATACTGCTCTAATATTTGAGATAGAAATTACTTTTAAGATCGTTGGATTGACGAAAAAAAAAAATAATAATAATGCGCCCCGATATCATGTATGTGACGATCCAATATTGCCCAACCTTTATCGCATACTCTCTATTAGAAGTTGAAAACGAGCCAATTCTATTATTACTAGACATCAAAGAGTGGCAAACCCCTACCGCTAATCGTTAGTATATTAATAACATAGTTTAGCGATACAATCGCGCTATTTCATTGTTTTTAAAGTTTGAGATGATGCAGACAATACAATCGATATTTTAAAGCGATGAAGAGGATTGTCTACAAATTTCTATGCCTAGGTAGAATGGATTAACGTTTCTTTCAATAATTTATCGGAGAGTAGTTTTATTTCTTCTCTTTGATCGTCTTCATTCTTCGTTAAAGTAGTTGAAGATGATTAAGAATAGCGGGCAGGAATATACAGTTCGATCGACATTGAAAGAAAAAAATAGTGATCCCTCTTATTTATAAAGTGTAATGAGTTCGACTGGAATACATAAACTGGTAGCAACATTTATAATTTATAGCCATTGCTACATTAATGTTTTACTGTCATTGGACGCGACGTAATCTCTATTAATTTCAAATAGTTTTATTGTTACTTTTTGTAGACAATCGGTCTCCGCTATAAAAAAAAAAAAAGAGTGATTTGTATAGGCAACGAATAATGTGCTATCAGAGACGTTATCATTGAATGTATTGATGAACAGCTTCTGAAGTCAATATCAGCAGGCCATTTTGGCATTATTTACGTACTAAAGTATTGTATATTTATTGTACGACATATAAAAGTATGCGATAAACCGATCTTGACAATTTATTCTCTCTCTCCAATGATGGTCCATTCTATGTTCGATGGAAATGATTAATCAAAGTGCAATTGCAATCATCCTGTTCATTTCCAACTTGATTCCTTTGATCGTTGATTTCTTTCATTTTTCTATTTAAGCTACTACGCATTATGACTTGATATAAAGAAGAAGTATCACGATAGAAGTGATATATTACACTATAATAAGGCAAGGTGTAATCGATTTAGATAACGATATGGATGTTAGATAAGGACGATATCAATGCTAATTACGTTACTAGCCTGCACTGTTTTTTTTTTGCTTGCTTGCAAGTAAGCGCACGAATAGTTGGGTTATCCTTGATGACTATTTTTACTCTGAGTTAATTTGCGAAATATTACCATGGTCTATTGAGATAGTCGATGAAAACTGCTATTCATTTGTTCAATATAAAGCATACGATACAATTGATCTTCAACGATCACCAATAAAGAGATAATAGTGTCAAGCAACAATCATTACAAGACGAGTTCCGTTACATTTAAGGTAATCTAGGTATCAATCTTTGTTGATCCATAACAAAAGTAGCTTGAGCCCATTTCATGTCTAAATTGGTCCAGACATCTGCGTTACTGTCTTATTGTTATCATGCCCATTCAAAAAAAAAAAAAATTGGATGATAATTTCTGGAAACTGGTGTCAAATGATGTAACTTTTTTATTTCAATACATTCCATTGAATTGAGACGAGATTGTGATCACTCAACTATTCTAATTATGTTGACGTTATCCAATTTCATCCACTTTTAAAAAAATGGATGGCAAAATTTACATCAGTCATTTTGTATTATACCTGCTAGTTACTTCTTTTACTTTATACAATTAGTGTAAATTATCCAATCGTTTCACTTGACTATAGTCATGTAGAAGATGTGGTAGTAATAATAATAAAAGTAAAAAATTGAACGCCATCAATTGACTTCATTTTACAGTAGTGTAGCCGCAATTGATGTAGTACTCGATCATCAAGACAACAAGTTGATCTAGAGATTATCTATCGCTGAAAGTGTAAACACAAGAAAAGTTAACCTAATTATTAATGATACAATGAGAATAATAATATCCAAAAGGATTCAAATACATCGGTTATTAATTAGCTGTTGTTTAGATACAATTTATCGATCGTCTAAATTGATCCGTTAGCCTCATCATAATAATTAATTTGTGATGCTCAAAGCAAAATCACGTCCGTGTTACCGCATACCCTAACATAGCACCAATCCATCATCATGCTACTTAAATCACTCTTCTAATTTGAACCATGACTAAATTACACAAAGTTGTTTATATTCTATTCATCCATTTTTAATGCATACACAGTATTTCAAGGTCATGCAATCTTGGACTAAGATTATCTTTCACTCTAGAAATTCTATAATGGAACGAAAGAATATCAATAGTCTTGTCCATTCCTCTTCAATTATGTACTTTCAATCCCTGACTTGATATGCAGCGTGTTTCCATTACGCGCTATTCGTCAAATCAAAGTGTAACTATCGGTTGATTTTTTTCCCATTGCCCATAAGGTAATGCATATTATCACAACTATCGCATATAGTTTACTCATTTGAAAAAAATCAACCATCAAGAGTACATGATCGATTGCAGGATAAAGTACAGAACCATTCAAAAAAAACGTTAGAATTTTATGTTCAACGGCTTCGCATGCGAGATACATTAAATTACTGGAAATCATGGGAATGGGGGGAGGGGGGGCGTTTTAGGAATACAGTATGTCTTTATCCATCCCATTAAATTCCAACGATGTTCGTTATCGCCGTAGAATAATATGCATACCTAAGTTTGGTGTTGATATTATTTTACTTTACAGTATTTTCTTAAATTACTAGTGATATAAAGAGTAGCATTGGCTGTGCTAATGATCTACTAATTATGAGTTCTGTCATATCCCAAGACTTGCCAACCATGACGAGAATAACAACAATACAATTGGCAACAATTTGTCAAAAACGGTTATGTGTCATTTTTAAAAATAATATTTGTCATCCAAGGCAAAGAATCAAGAATGATAAAAGGGAGAGATTCCTGCATGATCTATTCTAGATATCATTGCCCTGTCAAGTTCTATATCTCAGTTTACGGGCAAAGGAAAATGGAGAATCGCTCCATTGATACTGCGTTACCTTGTATCTCTGCTAAAAGTTATCTTTTTTGACATGATGCATAAAAAAATAATCTATGAATATTGCAACTTACTTGTGTTTAGCAGCAGCTGCTCGATCTCGTTGGCGACGATTTTTAAACCAATTGCCCACTTGAGTCGGTGTTAAACCTGTAGCATTTGCTAACTCCCGTTTTTTACCTGGATTAGGATAAGGATCACGTAGATACCATTCACGAAGTAAATTGCGGGTTTTTTCTTTAAAACAGTGAGTTTTTTGTTCGCCATCCCAAATGGTTACCGGCAAAGGATACTTTTTACGAATACGATATTTGTCGACAGGGCCAAGTGATCGACCACGCAATTTCTCAGCTTCACGGTAATGAGCTTCTAACCACATATGTTGCAATTTGCCGTGAAAATCCTTGGGAAAACGATGATTTTCAATAATACCATATAATTCACGATAATGGCCTTGATGATAGGCAACAACAGCACGAGCTCGTAGAATTGCGTCGTGATTTAATAAATTGGTATAGCCATCTAATGTTGATGGCAAAGACCATAAGAAACGGCTTAATCGTTCGATATCGCCGCTACTTTCTAATGCTTCACAAACGCTAGCAACTTGATGAACAGAGAAATGCAATCCAGGCATAGAAGGTGATGATGATCCTGGAGGTAAGATTGGCGCTTCTTGATTGCCACCATTGGCATTCGTTGGTTGGGCCATACCAGAGGCTAAAGCAGCTAGTGCAACGTTATGCGGTGGTAACGGCGCTACTGCGGGTACCATCGTTGGAGCTCGAAAAAGATTAGCGGCAGCTAAGGCTTGATGATGGGGACTAGCAGGCATACCTGCAATAATAGGTATAGCACCATTGATGGTTGGTGCGGGTTTAACATAGGGGGCATGGCGTAATTGATACATGGTAGAAAATGTTTTTCCGCTTTGCAAGGAGAATCGATCGTTACTAGAATAGAACGACAGAAATAGAAAAGTATAAGCGATCAGAAATCATCCTCATCTATTACAAACAAAACCAAGTAAACGAGTTAGTTGCAATCTTTTTTTTTTTTTTATATCAAGGACAAAATGCATTGCAGGATGAAATGAAGCAATATTAACAATTTCAATGACACAAATAGCAACAATTTTTAAAATCAATTACAAGTTAGTCCTTTATGACATGCGTGAGACGGTGTATTTATTAGCATGGGTAACTAGTTGATCCAATCTACTACCGTACAAGGACTATTTTAAAATGGATTTAATGCAATAAAATAATAGTCATTCGGAAAGAGGTCGAAGCAATCCTATCGACCATTGTGTGACTTTTCATCATTATCGTACCTACCATCAAGTGAGAATAACTGTTGTAATTTTACTGACTGAATTATAGAGCATAACTAGCTTAAGAAAATAACTTTCATTTTGACGTTTGACAAGTTGCATAGAAATTGGAAATGGTTCTATTAACTCCTTTCGAAATTCACTATTAAACACTTGCAAAGAATGGATATACATTACCGTCGATGCGGATAAGCGTACAGCAAGGAAGAAAAATGGAAATAGGATAAAATCCAATCGATCTTACCTATTTATCTTCTTTTGGCTGATGATTGAAATATGCAAACGTCAGTAATGGGTAGCGCAGCTGATATTGAAAAGAGTTGCCATCGATATCCAGCATCAATAAAAGAATACAAAATAAGTCGAGCGCGTTAATGAAAGAGTTCAATTTAGATTGAGCTATCAATTTGCAAATAAACACCAAAATCATAACAATGTACGCTGATTGGGCTAGAGTTTACGTCAATGTATCTCTCTATCTCGAAAGTTAATCCGCAATGTTGAAACATGACTCAATGATAAACAATTCCAATATCTATTGTAGAGTGCAAGGATAAAATGCAAAGGGAATTTTCTGCCTCCAATTCTTGACTGCCCCTGTAGAATGTCACTTTCATTAAAATTAATTAATTCATTTTACAGGAAATTACGCTCCTATAAGATCATTTTGCTGTATGCCTTGCCAACTTGGATCCGATCAAGGCTAGACTAAAGAATGGTCGGAATTTATTTCCATCACGATGTTTTTGTGGCCCTTATCGTTCGGACCCATCATTGGTAAGCATACAGTACAGTATTAATGGACCGAAAGTGGACAGGGGAAAAATGGACAAGATCCATGGCAGCCATGGCTAAATTAGGTCCAAACTTTCACTAAATGATTTTTAGAGTCGATGAAAATCACTGGGACTATATAGGGCTGTTATCCACTATATTAATTCAATGGAAATTGCGTCACCAGGTAAAAAGCGATTCGATTGATCGTCTTCGATACAGTTTACTTGTTGTCTATTTCTGGTGCTAAGATATTCTTGATCTAATTGAATAAGAATCGGCTATTCAATAGTCTCTTGTTGAGAATTTAACACACAGGTGTTGGTGGTACAGTACACATTCTTCCTTAGGAGGTTGAAAAATGAAAATGGTCGACAGCCAACTTGTTGGCGTTGAAATCCAAGTGGATACTCGTTCTTTCTGCTAGTGTCGGTGAAGAAGGGACGCAATCATCATCACGATGCCATGATTGAATGATCCAATTGGAGAAGAAACATGATTCATTATTTTATTTTTTTCTTGATGATGATTGAATGCATGCATCAAATTATTTTACCTCTCTCATTTTCAATCTTTTTGTTATAGGATAAGAAATATGAACTTGAATGAGCTATTGAAGACAAATCAACAACAATCATGATCGGTATCATGATGTGGAGGATGTTGATTTCCTCTATCAATTCTGATGAAAAAAAAACAAGTCAACAGGACAGTCACTTTCTTCCTACCCTGGATACTTTATGATCGAGCGTATTCAAATTGGCTACAAAGTAATTATCATCAGGACGGTGGAACGGTTGTACTTTATCGTTGGAGTATTATTCTTTTTTTGTTGTTTCTTTTCAAGAAGTTGGAGATTGTGATAGAGCATCTTTATTATTATTGATCAATCTATGGCCGTGTGGGATCTTTGTCATTTCTATTTCTTGGAAACAATTTACTGTAATCGATTACTAACTTGCATTTTCTTTCTATTCCTTCTACAGCATTGATTGTCGACAAATTGATTGATAGCAGACAGTAGACAACAAGAGTCAATCAATCCTAAATTTGCCATCAGACAGTGAGTTAACATCAAGCCACTGTCAATTTTTTTTTCCTACCGGCTTTCTATCAAATGATGTATTGGCTGTTTTAATAGTAACAATTGTCCATCCAAGCTGACTATTCCTCAGTATATTCAAGTTATTATCATTATCCTTTTAATCTGGTTACGTGTTGATTATCATCTTACTGAACAAACTGCCATAGAGTAAACATTGCATACTAATAACAATTGCAACCAACTTATTTCAACTGTATTGCGGTGAAATGAGTAGATATTCTCCATTTTTTTTTCCCCCCCCCTTATTTTTGGGTTTCCTTCTACCATCTTTGCTTTCAGTACTGACAACTTTATCATGATTGTATTTACGAACGACTTGTTTCTTAGCTCATTACGGTCTATTAATGCTGATCAATGGACTGCTTTTTCTTGCAATTTCTTGTTGACCAAAGTGTCTACTCCATTTTAGGTGCAATATGTACGGCATCGGAGAATGCAGATATGGAAAAATCAAGCAATAAAAATGTCGATTGTATACGGGTAGAAGATCATTTGTTTCATCTGATCAAACGAGTTAACCTATTCAAGGTGTTGTGTGTGTTAACTACGCAAAATAGACTTTGCAATGCAAACTGTTGAAAAATCAATATTGAATTTAAAGAAAAATTAGGCAGAGGAAATGAATGTTTTCTAAATTGAATTGAATTGAATAACAAAATAATGAAGGATCATCAAGAGATTAGATAGTTTGCTTGATTTTTACTCTCTCTTTCTTCTATACAATAATGATGGTATTATCCATTTTCTAAATATTTGAAGAACTTGGCTTAATCGGATTGAGCCATTTTTTCATAGTTTGCATCATTGATGATGACTGACATGAACCTGATTGCATGGCAAGGATGATAAAGTGAAGCAAGAAGGAGTATTGGATAGCGTAGTATGGTTAGCATGGTTGAAGAGGTAAGATCAATGAATCAATTCAAGTCAAGATCGATATGTAAATGTGGCCAGAAACGGGTATACAAGCCCAATTTGTAAGGATAGGAAATCACGTCGCGTAGGTCAATCAAATTGGATTTGGACATTTCTACGGTGGAGGTATGAACAGCTACTTTTCAAGCAAGTATCAGTTGGAATAAAATCAAATCATTCAAGAGAGAAAGTCAATGGATCTGTATTGTAAGCAAGAAAGGCATCGATCAACAGTCTATCATGACGACGGTGACTGTAGCTTAGGTGAATTTTCGTTGGAAATTTAAAAATGAATTATTATCCAACCATTACTTTCAAGCTTAGCCGATAAGCTAAGATGTGAAAAAAAAGGAGATCCATTTAGGATAAGAGGGGGGGGGGGGAGGAAAAAAAAAAAAAGTTGGCCGGTAACGAGAAGAATCCTATAGAAACAACAACATTTAAATCGGAGTAGAACGATGATCGTATCGAAAGTCGCAATTGAATATCAAAAATAGAGCATGAACAATCATTAGTACAGTAAACAAGTAAAAAAGAAAGACTTGTGACTTGAAGTAAATGAATCGATGAAACCACAACAAGCAATCAAGAGAGAGAAAAAAATGCAAAAAGCTTAAGTGGACCACTATCTAAATACTAATGTGATAATGATGAAAAGTTGTATATATTCATTCTTAATGGAATGTTAATTGCTTGTTGTCTTTTAATGATAACAATCTGCAATTCAAGTTACCTTGAATGTCGATGTTGGTCTTGTTAGATCATCCACTGGGGTAAAAATCAAGCTATCAACAAGATGCGATCATTCCTTTCCAATGGTGAGTCAATTTTCAAGCTTAGATTGGATGAGAGACGATGAGTTATGATCCAAGATGCAGGGGGTAAGACGAGTTAATGTGTAACACCTTTACTCGGTTAGTAAAACGTTTTCAGGAACAATTTACAATTGATAATTTGATTGAAAATTTCACAGTCAATAATGGAAGGTGGAGCTTAACTCCATGACTATCTCTCTGTCAACAAATGGCACTGGATGTCAATCAAGACAGCAAGATCTGTCAATCACCATCAAACTGCAATATGGATGATGATAATCGCAGAAATTGAGGACTGAATAAGACAAGGATTAGAGTTCCAATCGACTCTACAATAGAGTTCAGACTAGTAATGGACTACTCGAGTGGTGCTGTTGTCCACCAATGGAAGGGATGCAATGACAACGGCAAGAGTCTTGCAGCAGGGTATCCAGTGAAGGACAGAATCCTACTTCAGTTTCAAAGTATCCAATATGGTCAAGTAGAGGGATGATTGTCACTGTCGGAAGCGAACTTCCTTCATTGCCTTCATAGTACTCTACTTTGAAGGGGATTTTTCAAATCCAGCCTTTCTCTTCCTTTTTATATCTTCCCCCCACTTGAGTCTCGCAATCCCTTTTTGCAATCTTACGCCTCGATTGGTGCGCGGTAGTACTGTACATGACCGACAGTGTAGGGAAGGAGCGATTTAGATACAGCAATCATTCATCTAGCCTACTGTACAAGCAATCATTCTTTCCTTTTCATATACAATCATGTTATCCCCACAA